TGTGCCGGGCGCTGCACAGACACACAGCGAGAGACAGTCCCTGCCCCCGCTGAGATCAGGCTGCACACAGACATGGTGTCAATTGCCCCAGTCTGAACAGATAAAGGAAGGATTCCTCTCCTCACTTTACAGCTGGAGGGAACTGCAGCCTAGAGAGATTGAGTGATTTACCCCAGATCATAGAAGGCACCTATAACAGAGCTGGGCATGACCCAAGTGCCTTCATTACAAAGCCAGCCTTTCTCTGCCCCGACCCCTTCCTCCCTCCCTCCTGAACCTACTCCGTTAGCTTTCACTCACCCTTTTGATGAGCGCTGCTTTGGGACGGGCTGCCAGAAGAGCCTGGAAGGAGAGAAGAAGGAGCAGAGGTGTTTCAGGGCGCGTCCGATCACGAGGCGCCGGAGCGATCCCACTGACTAAGCCTGAACGACTCCCCAGTCAGTTCATTGGGCTCCCGGCCTGTCTCGGACAGGAGGGGGCGCTCTTGTTCTGGAAGATCAGAAGGTTGCCCTGCCTAGCGCAGTGCCTGGCTCTGGGGCTGCTCGGGGCCACACAGCGCTGCAGGGGAGAGCGGGGCAGATGTGGCGTTAGGTGGGCAGAAAGAATTAAAGGGTTTCATGATCTGCACAAGCTCTCCGGGCTGCACGGGAGGCACAACACAAGTGGAGTGAATACAGCAAGGCAGTGGCGGATTGCCTCATGGGCTAACAGGGCCTGTGCCCAGGAGCCCCGGCCAATTTGGGGCCCCTGGAAAAATCTCCCTCCACCATTGAGGCCCCGGGGCTGGAGGATCTCTCACTTCCCACCACGACACTGGGGCTGCGGTGGGGGCACAGAGCTCCTCAGGTCTCGGGGCCACAGTGTGGGTGTGGGAGATCTGGAAAGGAGTGAGTTGGGGGGGTAGGGCCTCGAGGATCCAGTGCTGGGATCCCCCCACTTACTCCAGCCCAGGGCCCCAGGAGACCTTAATCTGTGTCTGAGCAATGGCTAGACACAGTTTCATATGCAGCTGGGGGCTCATTGGAAGATTTTCATCCCCGAGTTGAAAGGGAAAATTCACACCCTCCAGCACCCACGCCAAGGATTAAACTGGGACACAGAGTCCCACAGGCAGAACTTACCCACCACTGTCAGTGCTATCTGAGCCAGGCACTTTTCACTGGTGTCTTGAAACACATAATTCCCATCAGCCCCTTGGCTCACTTTCTCCACCACGAAGGTGCCATGGGAGACCGAGACTTGCTCCTGGAAGTCGCTGCTGAGCTTCGTCGGGTCCCCCTTACCGAAGCTGTAGACAGGATCCCATTTCGAAGTCGACCTGTTCTGCTTGCAGAGATCCAGGGTGGTTTCTGATGTGTTAAGTGAGATGCTCACCGAGCCCCCTTTGGCGACAGATCTGGACACATAGGAGCAATCTCCAGGGCCTAGACGGAACAGTGAACACAGAGTTTGGGTTGCTTGGAGGAAGCCTGGGACGGCGCAGAAACGGCCTGTTGCGGGTTGGGGGCAGCAGGAACATAGATGAGAACACGGTAGAACCGACAGGGCCCTGAACCGGGACTCAGGACTCCTGGGTTCCAATCGGAGCTCTGGGAGGGGAGCGGGGGCTAGTGGGTTAGAGCAGGGGGGCTGG